TGGCTAGACCAGAGCATTTACACTACTAAAGAGAAGAGCTCTTGACACCGGGAATCCAGGGCAGGTAACCCCCTCAGGAACAATAATGGGAGTATCGATTAGAGGGTAGGGGGAAGGTGGGTTAACTTATTGCAATCATCAACGTATACACCCCCCCAACCAGAGTGACGAACAACAGAAACATGGGTGAAGGGAGACAGCGTAAGACATGAAAATAATAATAATTTAAAATTTACCTAGGGTTCATGAGGGTGGGAGGGAAAAGGAAAACAAATGAGCTGATGCCAAGGGCTCAAGTAGAAAACAATGTTTTGAAAAGGATGATGGCAACATATGTACAAATGTGCTCGGCACAATGGATGTATGAATTGTTATAAGAGCTCTAAAAGTCAGGGGCAGTGTACAGAAGATAACCAAAATAATTAAATATCCATTAATAACATAATAAAACACTTTAAGTGATAGGAGGAAAATAAAGCAGTGAAAGAAACAGGAAATGGCAGTTTGGATGTTGTTACATTTTAAAACAAGATAGAGAAGGCATAACCCAAGTTCTGATGTTAGGTGTAGCAAGTTGATTCCAACTCATAGTGACTATGTATAAAGCACTGCTTTGTCCTGTGCTATCTTCACAACTGCTATGTTACAGACTATTGTAACAGTCACCGAGAGAAGCCATCTTGTTGAGGGTCTTTCTCAATTCCACTACCCCTCCAATTTACCAAACATGATGTCCTTTTCCAGGGAGTGGTATCTCATTGGACATACAAGTCTAAAGTATGTGAAATAGTCTTGCCATCCTTATCTCTAAGGAGCATTCTGGCTGTACTTCTTCCAAGATAGATCTGTTTGTTACTTTGTCAGTCCACGGTACTTTCAATATTCTTCTTTAGCACCACAATTCAAATGGACTTTTTTTTCAGTCTTCCTTATTCAATGTCAAACTTTCACATGCACATAAGATGGATGAAAATACCAGGACTTGGGTCAGGGGCACCTTAGTCCTTACAGTCACAACCTTGACATTTAAAAAAAGATCATTTTATTGGAGATCTTAAAGCCCCCACAATAATCCATGCATCAATTGTATCAAGCAAATTTGTACATATGCTGCCATCATTTTCTAAACATTTACTTTCTATTTGAGTCCTTGGTTATCAGCTCTTCTTTTTGCTTTTCAATACTTTAAAGAGGTTTTATGCAGCAGTTAACACAATGCATCACTTGAAATCCTTTGTTTTTTGGGGGGGGAATCCCAAGTTTTATTCAAGGACTCATACAAAATATTCCTAAAAAAGGAGGTTTAATCCTCATCTTCCTCTTCTTTGTCTCGGTTATCTACAAGTAGCATTAATTCGTAACTTTGTTTGCTGTTGGCGACAACATGCAACCAATCACGTAGACTACTACTCTTAAAATATTTTTTGTGAGATATTTCACATATTTTTTGAAAAAGGGAACCTCAGAGGTTACAGTAATCTTGCTCTTACTTTGTTCAATGGTTATGACTCCTCCCCTGAGATTACCAGCTTTCCCATTCACCTTGATTCTTTCCTAAAAAAACTGCTCAAAATTGGTAGCATCCATGATTCCACGTCTACAGGGTGGGTACAATGAAGGGCGAACTTCAGAACCTACTTCTTTTTTTGCCCCCATTCACCAAAGGCTTTTTCACAGGTGCCATGGTGGCAGTGGAGTCAGAAAAGCATTACCATATATACTCGAGTACAAGCCGACCCTAACATCAGCCACAAAACTGCATTAAAAATGTGCTGAAAAAACTCGGCTTCTACACGAGTATAATATGGTACTTGAAATCTTGACTTCTGCTTCTATGAGGATTGATTATGGATACAAGTAAGACAATATCCTTCACCCAAAGGAGCAAAAAAAATTCAGAATGTTATGTATCAATGGGCTTACCACCTACCTCTGTCAATGTCTGGTAACAGATGTTCACAATCTCTTGAGCAGTCTTAGTATACTGACTCTCAGGCCCTATACATGAGGAAAAAAGAAGAAATGCTATTACCTTTGCAATATTCGCAGTGGGTCAGAATTTTATAATCTATTATTTGCAATAAAGACC